TGGAGGAAGGGCTTTTCTTCAGCTCTGTTGTCCTGGTTTTGCTACAATAGAGCACAGCTCTGAGCACAGCAGGGTTTCTAGCAGGTGTACGATCATTTTGAGTCCCATCATACCAGCTCAGTGTCTTTCCTCCTCCCATGCCATGCTCCCGACATGCCGGGTCCTCTGAGCCACCTTCATCCCCATGGTCATGATGCTCACGGGTCTCTCTGTGTCTCATCCAGCAAGGATTTCCCATGCAGCTATTCAGTCACAGCTATGGGGCAAAATCACGCTTCACTCATCACGTTTGAAAGAAAGAATTGAAATCCTGCATCTTCCTAATTTCTCTGGGCTTTGAAAAGCAAACAAACAAAAAAAAAACCCTCAAAAAGTCACTTTTAAATGTGGTGTTGTGATTTTTTTTTTTACCAGGCATTCTCAGGACGGTAAGACACACGTGGAGCGGGGAGCACCAGTTGAAAACCTGCAGGACTCCAAAGCAAGGGTTGGCTTTCTTATGTGTCTCATCCCTGAACGTTGTGTTCTCATGTTTCTGCCAAAGTCTTGGTTGTGTGTGGTGGAGACCTGCTTGGACCACCTTGGGTAAAGGTGGCTTGGAAAACCAGCTGATAACACAGCCCAGGGACCCTGTACCCAGACAGGATCTCCTTTCCCACACTGGCCTCTGTTTTGCTTCAAAAGAAGGTCTAAAAAGCCCATGAAGCAGCTGTTTACCTGGCAGTCTTGGCCAGGGGACAGGCTACTGCTTGGCCTCTGCAAGGTAGTGCTTGGGGATGGTCTCCAGCATGGGACCTTCCGAGGGATGGCCAAGGGTGTTCAGTTGAGGGCTGCAAGTCTAGCTGCAAGTTCTGCTGATTCAGGTTTTGCATGGAAAAGTTTCTGCTTTGATCAGATTTAGATAAGTTTCCATGATCAGATTTAGATGTGTTTCCATGACGTTGGATTTTCCTTGTCCTTGAAGTGGCAGAAAGCTGAGACTCTTCAGTTTTCACTGTGGTGTCAGTGCTTTACATTCCTCTCCCCATCATCCCAGTCACTCCTAGCCTCTCATCTTGCATTCCTTGTGTGTAGTGCTGCCTTCACCCATCCTGGCCTCTCTGAGGTTTCTGCTGTCTCAGTTTTGGGATGCAGTGGAAGCGCATGGCTTGCTGGGACCTGTAGATATTCTGGCCAGGAATGTGGAGATGTTCTTCAAGACCCTCTCAAGGTGTCTATCACACAGACACCTGCTGGCAGGTTCACAAGGGCTGACCACCCTCAAGGACCTCTTGCCTAGTAGTTTTAATATTTGCTGTCCTCTCCACATTTAAGTGTATTGCTTTTGGAGCCCTGTGGCATGCAGGAGGAAGGTTTCCAGGCATCTGTGCTAAGACCTTGCAGAAGTCTTTTTCTGAGTGGTTCTCAAAAGGTACGAAATCCAGACAGGACACTGGGATAACCCTGGTGTTTGTGCTCCTCCATGCACTCTCTGCCCACTGCCATGGCCATGCACCATCCCTGGGGACTCCTCATAGAATCCCAGACTGGTTTGTGTTGGAAGGGACCCTAAAGCTCATTCAGTTCCAACCCCCCGCCATCAGCAGGGACACCTTCTACTAGACCAGGTTACTCAAAGCCTCATCCAACCTGGCCTTCAACACTTCTAGGGAGGAGCAGCCACAGCTTCTCTGGGCAACCTGGGCCAGTGTCTGACCACCCTCACAGTGAAGAATTTCTTCCTTAGATCTCATCTCAATCTCCACTCTTCCAGTTTCAAGCCATCACCCCTTGTTCTATCACTCTCTGCCCTTGTCCAAAGTCCTCTCCAGCCTTCCTGGAGCCCCTTCAGGTACTGGATTTTCACCATCTCGAAGCAAACCCATCGCAGGTGTCGGTGTTGCCACTGTGGTGTTTTCATGTGTTTCCAGCACATTCATCAGCAGGTCCTGCCTGGGTGCTGGGGCTCCACCGTTTCTCACCTGTGCTGTGGTGAAAGCAGGAGCAGGTTGGGCTGCCCCGACAGCAGCAGAGTCACTGAAAATCAGAAGTTTGATGCACAAGAATTGTCTTGGCATGTTTTGTGGCAGATGAGCATTAATGCAGCCGTTTGTCCTTATGCCTGATGAGGACGGCAGCTCCTGGGTGATTTTGTAGGAGCTGCAAGGTGGTGGCCACAGCACTGGGTACCTCTCCCCTCCCTGGTGAGCAGCACCATGCTCTGCAGCTTTCTGCCACCGCAGCTGATGTGCAGGCGAGATAGCACCTTTGGGTGGAGCATCTCCACCACCAAGGGAGGTTCGGCCTCTGATCTGCAATGTAGGTCAACTTTATGCTTTAATATCCATCCTCCCAAAGGAGACCAGCTAGTAGAGGTGGCTGTGTAGTGTGACAAGTGTGTCACACTCCCTGCCAGGGCCAGCTGGAGCTCTGCATCCCTCTGAGACAGCCCAAAATCTGCAGGGACCAAAATCTCCGTATCCCATCACATAAAACCTGCAGCATGTAGCAAGAAGGAGCTGCTCACCCTCATCTCCCCCACGCACCCACACCTGGGGACACAGACAGCCCCTGACAGCACCCAGGGGCTGCCGCAGCTGCCCGCTTTCCCTGGGGAGGAGCAGGCGTCCCTCTCCCCGGCGCGGTGCAGAGTCGGAGCGAGCGGCCGTTGCTGCCCTTGTAGGGTAATCTCAGCGTGGAGCTACCTTGGCTGGCGCTGGCGTTGGGGGAGGGATGCATCCCCATGGGCCAAGTCCTTCCCTGGAGCTGTGGGATGCTCTGAAGGAGAGCAGTGCTGCACCTTTTGGTGCTGGAATCTCTCCAGATAGGATTTTATAGCTCTGCTCTCTTGCTTTTTATTTCTTGATCTTTTCCCCTCCCTCTTGTTTATTTCTGGGTGTGCATGTGCTGGGCTTGAGAAAACGAAGAGCAGAGGGGAGCTCTGGGTGCTGCTGCCCCGGTGTTGTGAAGGGATGGGAGGAGGGTTTCTCTTTTGGCTTTCTCCCAGGGTCTGGGGTCTGGGCTGAAGCTCAGGGTCCCCTGGTGCAGTGGGCAGACGGGCAATTTTCAGAACTACGAGGGCTGCAGTGTTTTCCTCAGTGGAGGGAGCGATCCAGGCTGGTGGCTGGAGTCTGCATCCCTCCAGCATCACTTTTTACAGGAACCTGTTAAGAGAAAAGTCCAAAGCAACATGGAGAAACCTCCCCAAAAGGCTGTTCTCTCCCAGTGAGGAGCAGATCTTGTAGGAGATAAGCTCGTGTTGTTCAGTTGCAGTTTTGCAAGAGCTGAAGGGCTGTGAGAACCCCAAGAAGCTTGATGTGAGGCAGGACACAGATGGATCATGACTGTCCCAGTGTTCCTGCAATCCCCATGTCCTCCCTGCTCCTGTCACCAGTGTGTGGAGAGGAGAGGGCCGGCACATAGGGACCCGCATCATCTTAAAGCAAAGTGGGTGTTGGACCCTCAGATGACTGCAGACCTTGTGGAAACACCCAACTCGCTCTGTGCCAGGGAGGGTGTTACTTAGAGACCTGACAGAAACATTTTGAAGAGCACCCACCATGGTTAAACACTCTCTGTCAGCGCTGCAGCTGTGTCCCCTTCCTGTCCCTGCCCAGTGTACACGCTGCCACCCCCCTGTTTACCCCATCCCAGGGTGAAGCATTGAGGGGAAGCACCGTGGCTGGCCAAGAACCACCCACGTGTCAGCTGGTGGGGGCTGAAGAGACACCCCTGCAACTCAGAGAAGATGAATTTTGGTTGTTGCAATAAGATTTAATACAGTGGGGTCGCCGACGTCCCTGCTTTGCTCTGAAGCCGGCGGCGCGGAGGCCACGCAGAGGGCTGCTGCCATTGCCGCATCAATTTTATCTCGGGATGCAAGGGCTGGGCTCTCCAGCTGGAAAGAAATTTTGGCAGAAGTTGTGAATTTTTTATTTTTTATTTTTTTTCCCTTTTCTCTCCCCTGTTATTTATGAATTCCCCTGGAAGCTTGTCGGCACCAGGGTTGGCAGCAGGCGCGGAGCTTCACTGGTAACCCCAGGCAGGACCCCTATTTATCACCAGCACAGTAACAGCGGTTCTCTGCTGCGTGCAGTGATGAAAGATAGAGAAATACAGCCGAAAGATGCACGATAAGGGATTTTTCTAACTCTTCTCAGAAAGTGCTGCCTTGTGAGTGTTTTTTTTTAAGGTAAAAAACCTCTTTTCTGTGCAGACCGAGCTGCCAGCAGGGTCTCTCTCATCCCTGAGCTGAAGAGTAGCTGCTGCCTTAGGGGGCCGGGGATGCTGCTGTTGACTCCTTGAAAATTGAGGATCTAGTTAGTGAGAGTCAGGCTCTGACAGGGATTCCAAGGCTGCTGACACCAAGTTCAAGCTGAACACCGTATCTTTCCTTGGGGCTGTGTGTTCCCTGTTGCCTTCAATGTCCAGCTCCATCCATCAGTAGGGTGGGAGTAGGGAAGAGAGCAGCCCTGGGGCTGGGACAGTGACTGCAGTGGGTAGATTGGTCCATGCTAATTGTTCTGGAAGTATTTATGGATGTAAATATCTATCTCTAGTGTGTGTAAGTGGTGTCAGCCCATGGAGCAGTGTCTGTCCATCTATATGGGATGGGCAGTGGGATGCAGTGAGCTTCCTCCCTTGTGCTGCTGCCTTTCCCTGGGTGCTGCTTGTTGCTCTCGTTAGGAGCGATAACGAGGAATCCCAGCCTGTTCACCTTCCCGTTGTTCCTGCCTGCATGGCTCCACCTCATCCCTTTTCCTACCTGCTCCAGGCTGAGCCTGCTGAGCCCTTCCTCGCCCCTCAGCATCCTCCTCCACCTTATGCAGCCTGAGCTGCCGCAGCTGCTGTCAGACCAGCTCTGTGCAGATGGGATCCCAAGTCCTTTCTGGGATCAACCCAGGAGCAACCTCTTTTGATAACAAAAACAGGGAGCTGGTTTGCTTTTGAACCCTCACCAACACTTTTTCTTCTCTTTTTTTTTTTTTTTTCCCATTCGTTTCAGGCGAAGAGGACAAGAAATGAACGACACAAAGGAAACGCTCCTACCTAAAGGATCCCTAACTTGTAACTCGGACTGAAGTCTTGCATGCGTGACCATCGCTAGAAGCCAGCAGGACATGCATGTGTCCGACTATCAGACAAATGCGGGTGAATCATCGAAAAGAAAAATACTGATTTTTGTTTTGTTTCGTAGCTTTCTTTTTCCTGTACATACGAGTGCAATTACTGGACAGCTGGCGTAGGGTTTGGGGACGGAGCTGTGTGAACCTGGGTCATCGTAACGTGGTTCCTTGGGGATTTGTTCCTGCAAAAATTTGAGACCTTCTTTCCAATTTTCACCCTGAGTGGGTGAGCTCAGGCAAGGCATCCTTCACGGGAGATCGAGGAGGGGAGTTGGGATTTTAGGCAATACACTGAGCGCGGGCAGGAGGCTGCGTCCCCAGCCAAGGGGATGCACGAGGGCAGCTCACAGGGCCAGGAAGGGCTTGGGGTGGGCGACAGGGCCGTGGGTTGGGGTCGCTGACCCTCAGTGATTTTCACGTTGTTGGTGGGTACATGCCTGTGGCTGCTGTGCTCTGCTCCAGTCACTGCAGCAGCTGCAAATGGCTTCCCAGTGTGAGCACTGGTGGTGTGGATCTTGTGGACACACGTTCATATGCCAAGGTTGGGTGCGTACGGTGGAAGGTGAAGTTCTCCCTATTTCTGACACTGTCTTGTCTGATCCCTGCGTTGTGGAAAGCCCTCCACCTCCTCAGGCTCATCCAACACCAAAGCGTGATGTAGTCTTTGTTCTCCTTCGTCCGATGTCTTGTTAGATCCCATCTGCTCTATTTAAGCCATAGCTGTCTTCCTCGTAGGGGCAACCATTTAAAGCAAAGCATGGGGATGACCAACTTTGCATTCCTCGTGTCTCCTGCTCCCTCCCGGTCACGCTTTCTGTACTCGGTTATATTTTAACTATTTCCCTAGCAAGAGTAGAGCTTAAGTCCTTAGGAGCGTGTCCATGAGTTCATGTCCTCTGCCTTTGAGGACATCGCTGTCTTGCACAGGGCATCCTTGACACCCGTGGTCTGCCTTTGAGACGGGAATGAATGTATGCTTGTACATAACCTAGTCCTTCTCTGTAGCGGCGTTGGTCGTGGCGTCCCTTTTTATAAGGCACCGACTTTATTTTATGATCTTGGGATTTGTCTGCAGCTGGAGCAACACGGGCTGCAGTGGGAGCTTGTGGACCAGGAGTGGATTTTGGGATCCAGTAAATTTGATCTTTTGCCATTGAGCTGTGTCAGCTGAGGAGCTGATAGCCAGTGATTTCTTCTTCAGCTTTTCAAATCCTCCCTTCTGTTTTCCTCACCTTCCCCTGTGATCCATCCTGATGGTATTTAGTTAGCCAGACCCTAGATCTTTCCTTCCTCTTAAATTCCAGAAACAGCACCAGAGCCAGGGTTTTAGATAGCACTTTGCTCCTCTGCTGTTGGGTTTTATTATTTTACTTAAAAAGAATTCTTTTGCTTGTTAAAAGCTTCCAGTGCTTTTCTGTTTCTCTTTCACCTGGGCAAGAGCTACTCTTCCTTTGTACAATAGGTGCCAAATGTCTCATCCTTCCTTTCTTTTCTCCATCACCAGCATTGAAGATGAGCAGAGCCCCCAGACCAATGGGAATGTACAGAATTGTTATACTACTGAGCTGATTTAGTTGTACAGAAAACCTTGCATGAAATGTTGTTACTGTATTTAATATATAATGTATTCAAGGAATTTTAATATGGAGCTCTTTAAAAAGATCTTTATAGATACTCTGTGGTTAGAAGATTGTTGCTGATTTTTTTTTTAAATATTATTATACTTTGTCTTGAAGAAGTTTTGTTTTTCAAATGTGTTATGTCAAATTGATTTAATTGGTGATCCTGTGGGACAACCAATTCCTCTTTAAAAGATTTTCACCATGGATGAGACTCACCCTGGCACAGAGGACCAGGGCATGACCCAGGTACTGCTTAAGTCTTCAAAAATAAGGCGTCAGTAAGACTCACACCAGAGATGTGGGATTTGTCTTTCCCCAAAAGGGTGGATTTCACCCTGTTTTAGTATGGATCATCTCCAGCTCTGTCCAGGGAAAGAACCAGCGGGAATTTAATCCAGTGAGTTTAGAGGAAATTGTTTCTGTGTTTACCTGAGCCTGAAAACCAGTTTGGGAGAAGCTGGACCAAATTCAGAGCATCCCAGCGCTGTTCATAGGGTCCAGCGGGGCTGTCAGCTGCCTGACAGCATCTCCCTGGGATGTGGTGGCCTTGGGCCATCTTGCCTGCAGGGCCATGCTTGGTCCATCCATTCTGTATTGCACCACCCAAATTAAACTGGTTTCCCTGGGTTTAAGGACTGGTGTAGGATTATTAATTACCCAAATCTGTACGTGTGTGGAAGAGTTTCTTGTGTAGAGGTCCCACTAATGAGTAATGAATAATGGATGGGAGTCTCTAATTAAGGAGACCTAAAAGGAAAATAAAAATAAAAATAAATTTTAAAAAAGAGCTCTGTGAAATAATGAAATTTTAACTCACTATTAAATTCCTGCTGATAAATTTTGCTTAGTCTCACCTGAGAGCAGAGAGCTGGGGGTGGTTGGACCAGGCATCCCTCTGAACCTGCTAACAGAAAGGCTGTTTGAAGGGGTAACAAGAAGTTTGTTATTTTATTGTTGGTCAAGGTGCCGAGTTGCTGTTATTTTATGGTTGATGGAGATGCCATGCTGCTGCAAGCCCAGGCGACGTCAGTCTGTCAGTGCAGTCTTTGGGTTGCAATTGGGAGTTGCCCAAAATCCAAGCCATCATGGGCAAGAAACCAGAGCTGTGTCTCAGCCAAAGGCTTGTTCTTCCGAGCAGCAGCAAATTGCATTTGCATTTTTATTGGAAGCCTCTAGATCTACCTAGAAAATAGTGCAGGAACCTGCACCAAGGCTACCTGGACCCTGCATCCCCCTTGCTAGGAGGGACCATTACGACACATCCCCATTTCCCTTCTGACTGATTGACCATGTCTCTTTCTTTCCCCCCGTCCTTTAATTACTTGGAATACAGGTTTCACTCCATGCTTTTTGATGGCAGAGGCTGATAGTTGAAATATTTTAATGAAGTAGAAAAATATCCGTAGATGTAATTATTTTTCCTTTATGCTTCAGTGAAGGGTCAAGAGAAATCATGGAGTAGTTATTTATTGCATGAATGTCACCAGCAGCACGCTGGGCAGTTTCACAGGCTGGAGCATGTTCTTGTGCAAACTTGGAGATCCCAGAGCTGAGACCATTGCTTTGGGATCAGGTCTTGTGTCTTCTTGAGGTATCTGACTGTGTGCAATACAAGGGAGATGGACACTGGGTGGGTGTTTTGCCCAAGAGATCGTTATAAAAGGCAGCTTAGGGGCAAAGCTTTTTGACAACAGAGTTGAGGAATTATTTCCTTTTTTAGTTTGATTTTGATGGTGCTGCCTGGCATATTCAAAGTTTTTAAATAAATATAGGTCTTTCCAGCAAGACCTTTAGCATCCGTGGGCTGCTGTGACAGATCCTCCCCCACGTAGGGAAGCGGCGATGCGAGATGCACGGTGGAGGACACGCTGGGATGGCAGCGCGGGGCTGTCCACAAGCACTTTACACTCCTTTCTCAGGGGCCAAGCACCGTGCTGGGTTACAGCCAAGGCAGGAGGTGAGGGTCCTGCATCCCTGGAGCACCTGAGGGGTCAGCTTTGAGCAGCAGCTGTGACAAGTCTTTTGGGCTCTTTTGGGCTGTCATGTCATTGTGGCCAGTTGCTGGATGAGCTCTTCCCCCTGCAGTGCATGATCCTGTCGGGAGGCACGTTGGAAAAGGGAAAAGAGAGATGATCTTCAAAGCAAAGCAGCACTGCATCATCCTGGGGTTTATTTCTGTCATGTGACCACTGTACAGCTCAGGGTCTGGGTGAAGTTTTTGATGTGTGTCTGTGAGACTTTGGCACTGTGAAGATGTTGTGTGTGTGTTTCTGATGCTTTGCTCAGCCAAGGCTGGATGGTTCCACCAAGAGGAAGAGGAGGGACAAGCTTTACTGTAGGAGCAGAGAGACTTCATTCCCCTAACATCAAATCTGGGATTGAATCAGAGTCTTTGCTTATGGTGGTAGAAGTAGCCAGAGGAGCAGTAGGACAACTCAGCAGCAATTTTTAGTCCCTCTTTTGTACATCAGGTTATTGGTGATGCTTCTAAGTCATGGTCCTGCCTCACACACACTCATGAAATAACTGTGTGGCTCAGGCTAACGCTGTCCCAGTCAGTGGGAGATGTTCATGAGGTTCAGTGACCTTGGGATCATGTTGCTTCTGAAACTCAAACACACCGGCGTCCCTAATACTGACTGCAAAGACTTACTGTGATTTTTGGTCCATACCTGGCATGGCCATCACCTTGTGTAAATGATGCCAGAGATTCAGTTGTCGCTGTTCACTCCCACCCGGGGTTTTTTTCCCCCCATCTCTGCAGTGGCATTTTCAGGTAGGACTCATCGCCAGCGGGGAGATGGCCCAGGGGTCAGGTTTGTGGGACAAGGAGAAGGGCTTTGCCCTGTGCTGAGCTTGCACGGCACAGTTTGGGTTAGAGTTTGCAGGGCTGTGGTGAGGAAGGGGACACACAGGGTAGATCGTGCTCCCTGGACCTGTCCTCTTGGTGCCATTCAGCTTTTGGTGTGAGTAGGGCTTTAAATGAACCTAAATCTGTGCGCTGGGGATGTGGGCACTGCCAGCTGTTGTCTGAGCCAGGTCCATCCAGGCGCTTGGGACCAAGAGGAGGGTGATGGCTGAGCTGCTGGTGGGTGCCCTCAGTGGCTTCAATCTGGGAATATACTGATTTTTTTTTTTAATATATAAATGCCTGAACAGCCAAATCTAGAAATCTCTAAGTAAGTTTTTGCTTTGGAGTAAAAGGTAAATCATTATAACTTCAGGGGGGGTGGGAGGGTGTTATTTGAGGGGTAGAACTGAAAGAAACAAGGTTTCCTATTTTATTATATGAGAGATATTTTTCCACTAAATTATCACTTCTTAAATTGTGTC